ACAGCCCAGGCCGACGGACCTGGGAACGCATAGCCAACCCACCGTTAAGCCAGTGTCCTGACCTGTGCAGGGATAAACAGCTTCAGCTGTCTCATGCACGTTGCTTTCAGCCCTTCGTGTGTAGCCTGCATGCCAGCTTTAGCAGCACGCAGCTCGATCAGAATCCTGCTTGAAACTGTCTAGTGATATTTCTTCGTAAGATCGTTCAGTAGGTTTTCTGCAGTCTTGGCTGAAGGCCGGGCGAGTATAGCAGAGAGAAGTGAGAGAAGTGCCGACACCATGGCTGCGCTTCCAGTGGTTCAGGGCAAGGTGGTGGGAACACCGGCGGATGTCGAGCAGCCGTATCCGCACTATCCTCAGCACCCGCACCACCCCCACCACGCCCACCAGAACGCGCACTGCCCCAACAGCGCAGCGCCTCAGCAGATGTCGCGGCCGGAAGGTCGAAACCTGGAAGTCTTGCAGCTGGCGTGCAGGGACGTCCACCTTCCACCTGACATTCGGCTGGGATTCGTGAAGAAAGTGTATGGCATCCTCGGGATGATGCTGCTGCTCACCTTCGCAGTCAGCTTGCCTTTTGTTCTTGTCGCTGACAAGGCGCAAGAGTTCATCCTCCAACATGTCTGGATCTTGTACATCGCCGTGGGGGTCGTGATTGCCCAGTTGGTCTTTGACTTTGCCGCTTCCTGCCAGGGTTTGTGCTGTGGAAGCACAGGACTCTTTCAGAGTTACTTCTGGATGATGAAGACGGCTCCATGGAACTACATGTACCTGACTCTTTGGTCGTTGTGCCTTGGTGTGGTAGTGGGGTTCGTCTGTGCGCAATACACAGCACAGTCGGTCTTGCTCGTCTTTGCACTCACGGCAGTCTTGATTATTGCCCTGACGATCTATGCCGTGCGCACCCAGGCGGATTTCACAGGCTGCGGTGCTTACATTATGGTACTTTTGCTGGGCCTGCTCATGACCATCTGTGTATATTCTTTCTTTCCAAGCAGTGTCGTCGTCACCAAGATAATCGCCGGATTGGGGGCAACGCTGTTCGGCTTCATCATAGTCTACGACACGCAGCAGATCTTCGGCTCTGCGTCTGAGAGCTTCGGAGGCGGCAAGCGCCACGTCGAGTACACGATTGACATGTACGCCTTTGCCGCGTGGAATCTCTACATGGATTTCCTGAACTTCTTCCTGTACATGCTCCAGCTCTTCGGTGAAAGGAGGTAGGGACGAGTAGGGATTTTTGTTGCAGCTTGGTCTGAAGATTTCTGCCCACAGTTCTGGTCAGGGAGTCAGAGGTCCGAGGCCCGGGGCACCGTCATGTACAGTTGAGTGTCCCCCCGCCGCCCGCCTTTTCAAAACGTGTACAGCCCAGGCCGACGGACCTGGGAAACCACTCTAAAGCCTGCTTGGATGTTTTCCAAAATGCCATTCCAAACCTTCAGATGACACCCTTACGCATGAATGCAAGCGGTGTTCACTTCCTTTCAGGCCTCCGTTGTGGAAGGAGCCTGGTGCTCGGCGCCGCATGCCTTTTCTTCGGGTTGAAGCATGTCAGGGTGGTCGCTTTGTGGTCTCAAGGTAAATTCGACGCAAAGTGAGACCCCCACATAGCGGACTACGCCATAAAAGGCCCTCCTGAAGGCCAGATTGGTGAAAGATCCAAGCGCCGAGGCGCTCCAGGCGCTCTTCCAGTCGGTGGTGCCGCGGCCCTCGTCTCCGGAGGAGCTTTTGCAGTCAGGTTCTGATTTTCTCGTGATTCCCAGAGTAGTGCCCAAAACTTGCGGAATGCCAAGGGTTGCAAGCCCCAAAGTCCCCGTGTCTGAGAGATGTGTCAGGATGACGCTCTGCTGAGCAGAATCTTTCTGCAGCTTAGCCCTGCGCCCTCCTTACTAGGCTTGGGCGGGTCGTAGATGCCCGGTTATGTCCGGTTCTCGTCTTGCGTGCCAGTGGCCGGCCCTCACGAGCTAACGTGCTTCGTTCACGACATCATGGGACATCCACACTTGATGTCCAAACCCTCGTGTCCGAGAGCCCCGCCGTGAAGAGCCAGCCGGATTCTGAGGTGTAAGAAGCTCCCTCCGGTCTCCGAGCACTCGAGACATCCTGTGACCCAATTCTGAACTGCTTCCGATGGTGGGTTGGAGTAGATCAGATCAGTTGGAGAAGCCTGAGTAAACAGATCCTCGACTTGTGAACTCGACTTGACCCTAACTGAGCTCCCTAAACCCTCAACCCTCAAACTTACAAATCCCAAACCGCCCGAACATTTGCAGGCCACGGGCCGGTGTCTTTCCTTGATGGCATCAGGCGCAAGAATCTAACTCGAGTCTCACAGTTGTTGTCCTTAAGTGGGATCGCAAGCGGCGCATTACTCCGGATGACCTCAAAAGCCGAAGATTCCATTTCGTTTCCGCCTTCATCGGATTGACCTCAATGGCCTCGCATTGAAGCCACATGGAAGGTGCTGGTTTTCATATTCCAACATCAGCAACACGCCATCATATCCATAGGTATGCCTTTCGCCTTTTACGGTTCTGATGCGCATGTTGGTGCTGGCCAGTGATGGGGCTGGACATAGGGAGTGGGGCGGCCTCGTTTCCATGAGCACAGAAACATAGGCACAACACTTGATAGATCATCGCATCACAAGAATCAGTACATGAGCGCAGCAATTTCAAAGATGGGCATACGTATTGTAACTGTAACCGTACAAGCATTGTATACATTGGCCCTTGGCATGTATGAATGAATGTATGGATTGCCTGATGGCCTGATGGCTGGATGGATGGATGGATGGATGGATGGATGTGCGTACCACGCAGATACCTTTGGTAGCTCGGCGAAAGCTTGGGCATGGTTGCATGCAATCCCTGGGATACAGGTTCAGAATGAAGCTCGAGTTCCCCATGAGCGAGATCTTCACCGAGCGTGTGCTGATGCAGTACACGAGGTCGGCCTGATACCTTCCGTTGAAGAACAACGAAGCAATAATCATTGTACGACTGGGCATCGTAATGTTCGAAAAAACTTATTGTCATATGCCTTCAGAAGCCATCTTTATCACGCAAGTGCTTCACGGGCCTCCAAGTCTCTAGCTGAGATTCTTTTTGGGGCCTAAGATATTTCTTATGACCCTGTGACCTCACTTCAGCCTTTTCCTGGAGACTCCCATGACCCCAGTGTTTCGTCGTGAAAGAACCGGAGCCATGGTTGGAGGAACGTTGCGTGCTAGGCTCTTCCGGATCATCGCTTTGGCCCACCACGCCCTCGAGTGCCTCAAGGGAGCTTGGCCTCTGCCCAAGTGATCCTACGGGCTGCTCTTGACGAGGGTCGTGGCTCTCGAACGAAGAGGATATACATTGTCCAGCCCCGAGTCCCCGGGCGGGGGGCGCAGACAAAAGCCATGGCTTCACACTAAAAACCTTGGAATCTGCAAGTCTCCAAACCGATCCGAAGCCTTGGGCAAGTCCGGCGAGGAGTTCCGTCCGCATAGGATTTTAGTGTGCATCCGTATATCTTCATGTCTGCATGTATTTGTGTCTTCTTTCCTGCACAGAAGCCCTTGTGTTTCAACCCACACATCCCGAAGTACTTGGTGAACCGTGCCCCCTGCTCCGAGGGGTGCCCTGGCCGGTCTCGGTGCAGGTGGGATCCCGGCGAAGGGAGGTTATTCCCGAGCTTGAAGGGGAGTGTGAGCTTGTGTTGAGGTTTTAGGGTTCCGCGGCTTTGCTTTTTGGGGACCTTAGTACGAAACAGCTTGTGCAGACTACTCAAAAACCCTGGTGGAGAAATCAGAACGCGCTTCGTCGATGTTCCCCTCACCTTCGTCCTGCCTCTTCTCGTCCCGTGCCTGACCATCTTTTGCAGTGCTCGGCCGGGGTGGGACCTGAAGTGCCCATAGTCGTATGAACGGACAGCTGCACTAGAAGATCAAATTGCAAGTTCTATTACACACGTCAGGAACACGAAGAATGCAGTGCGCGAAGACCTGGTGAAAAGCATCGACCGCACACAGCTTTCAGCAACGGTTTCGAGCTTCGGAGCCGTGGGGCCCCAGGGAGCAGGGGCTCTGCGATGCCACCGCGAGGGGCTCGGAGATGCTGTTGTGAGGTCCTCCTCGTCCGTGAAGCCCCCATCGCGATAGCCCCAAATCTCAAGCCTTGACACACCCCTAAGAGGTATTGTTCTTGCTTTCTTTCTAGATTTGAGCAGTTTGGGGCTCTACTCGTTGGGTCCTCAGGTTTTGCAAGGGCTGCATTGTGTGTTTGTTGTTTTGCCAGGTCGTGTTGGGTGATATGGCACTTACGTCTACTGCAGCTGCTGCATTTGATCGTGTAGTTTCATTTGCTGCGGCACACAGTGAGGTTTGAGAGCATTCACAGACTGGGAATCGTAGGTCCTTATGCGAAAGGCCGCAAGGACGGAAGGAACAGGGCGCACGATTTGAGATCACTCCCGCACCTTTCCCGAAGTTACGAAGCGATAGACTCTAGACCTTAGCCGTAAGATCTTTTACGGGCTGCCCTTTGAGCTTCTTGTGGGTATCCGGGTGTGGGTCTTGGGTTGCTTCTAGGTTGCTTACGGTTGCTAGGCGTGGGGTTGCGCATCGTCATCGTAGGCCTGACGGAGTTTTTATCTTCGGGCACAGAGCTGGGTGATGCCCAGGACGGCCCTCATCGCATTGCGCCATGAACTTCACCATTTCGCGGCCACGCCGTGGCCACAGCTTCTCCTTCGACTTGTCTGATGGTGGGGAGGGCTTGGATTGCGAACACACGCGGCAGGAAGCCTCTTGGAAGCCAGCGGTTTTGTAGCTAGGATTGCACAAGAGCCCATGTAAGGCCCTTCTTCAATAGTGGGAGAGCCGTGAACACTTCGCTCAGAATTCATCGCTACCTCCTGGTAGATGTCGTGGCCACGGAGTTCAAGCAGTTGGAAGCGAAGGTGCAGCTACTTTCCGAGGGTGCTAGGGCTTTAGCTTAAGCTACTCACGATCACACAGTACCCTGTCAAGGGGAACAGTGCCTTTCACGCGCCAGACCTAGATCCTGAATGTGCCTTAAACTGTTTAAACTGTGGTATGACTTTGGAAAGGGTATGTCTTTCGTATGACAGGGCGCCGTGAGTCAGGCAGCACACCCTTCCGATTCTTGTTCGCCTGGTAGTCATCGTCATGACCGTGTCTGTAGTCTGATGACTATAGTAGGTACAACTCTTGCTTTGATGACGATGTAGCTTTGAAGGGATGGTGTGAATTGGTTCTACCCTGCCAGGCAGAAGTTGTGTGCTGCCACGAAATCCTGCGACTCCGTCCCAATCACGAAGCCCCACACGAAGCTTAGTCGCCAACCGAAGCCCCACTCTGAACCCAGCGAGAAGGAGCCCTCCAAGTCCTGACCCCCGAGTCTTCTCCCTTGCAGGTGATGGAAGCTTCCTCCCTGGACACACTCCTCGCCGCCCACAGCGGTTGCCTCCGGCGCTGCGTGGCCTGTGCCTCTGTAGGTTTCCACATTGGAGAAGCCCGCTTAAGGCTCAAAGGCTTTAGACAAACGCCAAGTCATCTTGGTGATGACGGTCGTGGTCATGGTAGTGGTGATGCTGCTGCTGGCGGTGATGTTGATGATCAGATGGTTCTGAATATCAACATTCTGCTTTTTTCCTTCAGCGTTGGTATCATGCCTACTGCTAAGAGTAGTACCGGCACTGTGCCGAGATGCAGATGCGAAGTAAAGCATTGCAGTTTTCGTCCCCTGGCATTTCTTGGAGTGTTCTGCCACGGGATTGTATAGCACTAGCTAGCCTGACAGCAACCATGGCTTCAGCACGCTGGATGGTTCCTTCTGGATCTTTTACTGTTCTCAGGATGAGGGTGATGTTGACCATGACGGTTGTTATGTTGACACCAGTCATGATTAGGAGTGGTGCAACAATATGCCCTTCTCTCTGTATTTCTTAAATACTACTAGGATTGTTGCTTTTGATTGATACTATCGCTGTCTAGCTGCCTGGTCTGTGTCGCTGTGAGTATGTTTATACTTGCTGTCATCAACATCAATGTTGTTGATGTTGTCTTCATCCATACATGTAACAGTGGTGTTGATGCCACATTGCTATTAGTGGACTTCGTAGTTCAGTGTTTTCGTTATCTTCTTTGATACCCTTCCTCTTATGACTCTTATGGTCAATGCGCGCATGGCTGCTGCAGAAATCCCGATTGTTTTCGTCCTCCTCACCCCTACAAGCCGTAGCGCTGATCACAGCAGTAAAGACCCGAAATTTCAACACTAAGACCAACCCACATATGCAACCTAAGCATCATTATATCCTTTATAGCAAAGAGCCAGATTCGCACGACCACTCTTGCGTTCATGGTGGGTTCCTTCGATCCAGGCCCGGAGCTTCCTGGAGGCTGGCTCGCAGGCAGGTTTGGAATGGCCCTGTTTGATGGGGTGGGGGAGGTAGGGAGTTTGGGACTTGCGGCTGTTTTTGCGCATGAGATAATATGTCCGGGTTCTAGATCGGGATGCGGCTGGCCTAGGCGGTCTAAGCTAGCGGGTGTGGGGGTGGTATGGTTTGGTTTTCTTTTTAACGTATTCTTTTGGGGGAGGGTCTCCATGCATGCCTTCAGCATCCCTCCAAGCTCCCTAAACCAGCGTGTCGGAGAAAAGTCCCAAGTACCATGACGAGCCCTAAACCCTGACACCTAAAATCTAAACTTTGAATCTTACGAAGGACGCCCTGACTGCAGTGGTCGGCATCCTGGACCAGGCTCGGGCGTCGGACGCTTGATGACGCGACGGCTGCCGGCTTCGGGGTTTCTGCATCGGGGGGTCCCTGAGCCATAAGGCTCTTCAGGCCCTCAGGAGAGAAGCTAAGACCTAGACCTAAGACTCTCGAAGAAGCTTTGCACTCATCCTGCTCGGTGGCATTGGCAGGTTTCGCAAGGGCTCAGGAAGGATTTCCCGTTGGGGTTGTCGTCCGGATGTTTGCGAAAGGCCAAGCCTGAATGCCATGCCAGCGGTGTGGGATGGGAAAGATTCAACTTACTACACAATTTGTTGACGTTCTCGGCCTTCTTTACAGCAGGCAGCTTCGCCGAGACGACCACCGAAACTGGCGTCTACAGCCCCAATGCCTGCGCTCCGTGTCCTGCGAAAATCAATTCACCCCGAGCCCTGAAACATCCTGAAACCACAAATCCGCAAGCTTAGTTCGGACAGGCCCAGGGTATCCAGCTCCCCACGACACTCCCAAACCTGGTCTGAACCCGTATTCTTAACTTACGTGCAGCGACCGCGAGAGGCCTTGGAGCTGTCGTGCCTGCTTGAAGAGGCTGGGAGCTTGGGGCTTCCAGAATTGGTCCCGTGGTGTCCGAGAAAGGAATCAGCAACACACAGTTGGATTTGGGTTGGCCGTTTCAGTTTCGTGGAAACCTGTGAAACAAACTACTCTGCCCATCCCGCAGCAGAGACTATTGACGCACGTGCACATGCGTTAACGAGTGAATGCATGTCAATGGATCATGAAAGGTGGATTTGCAGCTGCCATCTCTGCCGGTGTTCCCGGCCAGCCAGTTGGGCATCTATGGACCAACACATGATGCAAGCATATGCAAGCCATTGCGGGCATGCAAGTTTCTCGAAACCGAGAAAGAGTCGGCCACGTGTTTCTGAAGTTTCGGCTGCTTGTCGGCAACGGGTTGGAGTTTACAGCATGAGGAGGCTGACCATGGCCATGTTTCTGTGACGAAAACACCTCGAATCAGACCCGAGCAGCAAGAAGAGGCCTGCAAGAGCATCGCTTTCCACCAGCCAGGCTTCGGTGATTGTCCGCTTGCGTCGCATTGAGACGACATTTTGCGACTTAAGGACACCGGGTTTACCACAGCCAGCAGCCGCAGCCTCCGCTGCTGTCAGCCATTATTATTTGCTTCCGAAGCTTGGACCTTAAGATGTAAAACCCGAGCCCTATTCCGTAGTGAGAGATTTCCCGAAGACGATCCGACTGGACATCGGCAGGAGAAGCCTGAAGCTCTGCTACATGGACGGAGGCCCGTCCTGATGTCGGCATCCCTTTTCCCCAGAGTCATCTCGCGGTTTTATCGCACTGCTCCTGTTTCCACCAGATTGCCAAGGGCACTGCGATTCCTTCTTTCAGCATAACGACGACGGTTGTGTCTGTCAGACTTATGAGCTGCTTGTATGACTCTGCTGCAGGATTGGCTGAAGCAGATGGGCTGGTGCAGGAGGCAGGAGCCAAACAAACGATTCAAGGTTCAAGCGGTTCAGAATTTTTTCCGTGTCGGTTTGTTGCGCACGATGCCCCTGACACGAAATGTCGGTAAACTGTGCTGGCAGCTTGCGTTTGCCACGGCGTGTTTCTGATGTCTCCGGCCCTAAAAGCCTGACAACACTACGATGTCCAAACCCGCTAAAGTCCCTGCATAGTTTTGCTCTGTGTGCGATTTTCTAGGCTTGATTTATCGCAGGTTTAACTTGTGATTATCATGATAGCGTCTTTATTGCGTTGCTGGTGCTGTTTGGAGTGTGCGATTGTCTTTCGGGTGCTCCGGGTCCGGGTCGTATTGGAAACGCTACTTTCGTGTTTAGGGTTTGGGGTTTCGGGGTTTAGGGGTTAGGGGTTAGGATTTACGGATCACGAGTACCGAGGGGCGCTGTTCACTGACGATTACCTGGCCAGTAAGCTGTAGTCGGACTTCCGCCATGAGCCTAAATCTGCCTCAATCCGAAATCGACAAGATGCTCAGGTTCTTCCGGCTGCCGATGACTTCAGCACGGGCCTACATCCGGTTTCATTTTTTAAAATCGCTTGTGCGGTCTTTGCGTTTGGTTTTGCTTGCCTCAGTTCTACTCCTCTGCGATTTTTGTGCGCCGCATCATCGCCATCATCGTCATCGTCATCATCACCATCACCACCACCATCATCATCATCATCACCATCATCATCGTCATCACCATCGTCGTTGTCAGCATCCACGGACTTCATCATCAATATTCTGATAGCCGGTTTTGAAACAGCCTATGTTCAGCATCATTTCCAGTGTTATCATCCCTACCGTTGTTGGTACTATTGAAAGGCTTGACTGAGTCCAGTTCTCGAAGTGCACAGTCAAAGTCTGCTGCTGCAACGACACCACGACGACCAGCAACATCATCACGACTACTGCTGTTACCTTGCTGGTTCTAACGCTGGTGCTGCTCGTGCCCGTGCCGAGCGGTCAGCGTGGGTGAGTCTAACAGGAGCGTCAGATCTCTCCGTTTGGCTTCCGTGTTTTGTAGGCTGTGAGGCTACTGCTGGAAAGCAGAGGGCGCTACTCGTAGTTTTGATTATTAGCAGCTGCAGGGCGTGCTTCATTGACGCCGCTGTGATCTTGCTGAGAGCAGTGGCATTTCTTCACAAAAAGCAGAATATTTCATGAAAGCTGTTGCGCAGTGGGATAGAGTCCACATACCCAAGCAGCCTCCACTGCTCTGTAGGCCCCCCTCCCACTTGACGAGGCTAGGGAGGGCAGCCGACCTTCGTGCTATGACGCCACTTCATCGACGTGCGAGGTCTGCGACCTTGCATGTTTTCCTTGGCGACATCCATACAATGGCAACCTTTTATGCTGCAAGTGTGTGTGTGCGTCACCTAAGCCCTTGCGCCCAAAGCCTCCTAAAAATACGCCAGGAACCCCAAGTAGAACCCGCATAGAGCCCTTCGCAAGCCTTCAACCCCGAAATGCGGCCTTACCTTACCGTAAGCCATCCAAAACTGCTGGAGGAAGCTTCTGACCTTGGGTTTGTCGCCCCCGCAGCCCCGGAGGAGCTCGAGGAGGGTTTTAGAGGGCTAGTTGAGGCTTCAGAAATTTGAGGAAGAGGATTTGGGGTTTAGGGTCTGGAGGTTCCAATTTCTTGGGCAGAGGGGTTTCGCGTGTGTGGTCTAGGGTTTGCGGATTGCGGTCCTGACTGGAGGGTAGAGTGCAGAGTCCAGGGGCTTTAATTCTTGTTTGGCGGGTTGTTCGGGTTGAGGGTCGCCGTCGGAGGCTGGATTTCTGTTCATAAGGATCGTGCGCAGGTGATGCGTCAGAAAGGCTTTGGGGCTTCGAAACTGGGTTTCTCAGGTTGGGAAGGTGGGAGTTGGAATGACGGCCACGAGTAGAGAGAGGTGTAGAGCTCTGCTGTGCCTGATTCGCAAGAAGTGGCCCGGGAGGTCTTCGAAGAACTCCACTGGCCGGTATCCCCTACGAGGCATCCTCTCAACGGTTTCGCTACACTGTGCGATTGCGGTGATCCCAGAAGGGAACCCGCTCGGAAGCCGTGCTTGAAATAGAGTCATTCACCCGAAGCCCTCCAAAAACCATTCTGAAGCATTATGCACAGTCTCTTCTTCACGGTATGGGGCGCCAGGACCAGCTCTGGGAAGTAATCTGGAGATTCGTATTTTGGCAGCTCCTGAACATTCAGCGTTAAACTGCAGAGCAGCAGTTCGCATCACGAGCCCGGCCCCGAAGTAGTTGGACCCGAGCGGGTAGGATTGATGACCATCGTGTTCGGGTCGTGTGCGTGCTGTCGATGGGTGGAGGTCGGCGGTGGTGATTATGTTGATGGTCATGTTGATGGCGATGATGCCGACGCCGTTAAGGATTCCGGCTGTGCTACGCACTGTAGTAGTTCTCCTGATACAGCCCCAACAACTTCAACAACTAAAGAGCTGTGCGGTATTAGCTTCTTTATAACGTCTCTGCATGATTTCTCCGCTCTGCCACCACTCATTAAATCTCGTACTGCAGATTGGCACTTCCCTGACATCGCGAGCAGGTCCTCTTCATTGATGGGCTACCGCCGTAGCATGTAGCGGTGTACCGACGCCTCGACCCGGAGCTGTGGGAGGTCTTGGGGAGAAATGCCCCCTTCCAGTGCCCGAGCCAGCTGGGAAGGCATCTTTCAAGTCCGATCCTCATCGCTCCATCGCCACCGTGGGACGCCGCAAGGCAGAAACGCCCTCTAGGATTGTGCATTTGCGCCGAGATGCGGGAGAAAACTGGCGCCTCTTGGCCATCAAGGCATAGCACAAGTCTGCCAGCCCAGAGGCCACATTATATTCCTGCCCCAGAAATGCTGGACTTGTTAGAAATTGAATTATTAAACAGTTCTATCTATGCATATCTTCACCTATCTACCGTACATGGGACTAGATTTCTACGTCGCGTCTCTCAATGCGAAAGTTAAAGTTTGAGGTTTCCCAATACCTAGTAGTAGTAGTAGTAGTA